CCTCCGACTACTTGCAACGTTGACCAACGCTCAGCACTATGCTCACTGCGCCAAAATTTCAGAGCTCATCCGGGCGCTCGCGCACGGCCTTGTTCATTGAACACACACGAAACGAACTGTAACGAATCAATGATGACCTAATTTTTGTACAACATAAAAAGGCTCATTGATATATTTTGGTCACAAAATAAATTTATTTAATTTTGTTTTAGCAAGCGACGGATAAATACTTGGAACCGATGTTTTTTTGTGCTGATAATACTGGGTGCTTCCTGAAATCACATTTTATATTTGCGACACACATTTGTTTATTTTTTGGCGCATTTATGACGCGATTATGCTCGTCGTTGCTGGCTCGACAGTGCGAACAAACACAAATTTAGTTGCTAGATTAGGGACAATTATGGTGCTGCAACCGATTCACTCTCCAGCCGAAACCCTCTCCTTTCTTATACCAAAGTGTCACTTCGTAACCATCCCTTTCAAGCCGATGTCCGTGTCATCAACGCCACCGCCTCCATTGACTCCTCGTGCGCCCCGTCGAGATCGTGTTGCCGCACCTAGTGGACGCGGTACAGGCTTCGGTGCTGACGAGCTGACGAGCTTCCTGAAAGCGCTAGAAGAACATCTACCACTGGGGCGCGACGAGTTGGAACTGGTTCTTTCTATCCACATCCGGAGTTTCAGCGCCAACAACCACACGGTCGACTCATTACGAAGGAAGTTCGCTGCTTTATGCCGCCCCCGCATACCTACTGGTAATCCTACATGCCGTAACAGGGCGGGAAGGCTGAGGGGGGGGGGCAGCATTTTTTTTTTTTAAATAAAAGGAGTGTTCTTCACCACCAATAAAACGCATTGCTACACGGTCCAACCGGTAGCCGTATGCTGTCGCTTCACCCCTAACCACCTACAGTCCCCCCAGTATTTCACCAGCTTACCTGTAAGCCGACGATAAACGCGAAGGTACCATCACGCTGTGCTTAACTTTTAGTTAATAAGTATAAGTGTTTTCACTTGGTCCAGATTTCGAACGGCTTTACTATAGCTCTGCACTATTATAACCTTTAGTTTTGTATTCCGAAAAATTGGATAAGATGTCATGGTATAATCACTCTAGTTGCAATCTCAAGTACGTCACAAAATAAGCATCACAAAAAATGCTCCGCTGTAGGGTCTCTTTCTCGAATAGTACGCATAAAAATTGTGATTTCAGAAGTCACCCACTACAGTCATTAAAATACCGCTATACTATTGAACTAACATTTGCACGTGGATGGCAAAGGTCTGTGGGTTTTGGTGAAAATTGGTTGCAGGCTGGTGAGACCGCTTATTCGCAATTCTTCGGTCTATTATTTCGAAACATTATTTGAAGTCGAAATTGACTTGATAACGTTAATCGTACAGGCTAATTTTTTT